AGATTTGTTTTTAGGGGGTTTTTGGAGTCGTTCAGTTCGATCAAGTTCAAAATTTGAGAATTCAAAATGGTTGAACAAAATAGCGGACGAAAAAGTTACGGAAATATAAAAGATTTAAGTTTATGATGGAATTTGGTATTAGAGGGTTTATGAAGACGCTTGTTCCGAAACCGTGTTTTAAATTTGGAAATTAAAAATGGTTGAACTAATATGGAGGACGGTAATATTACAGAAATATAAAAGGTTCTTCAATTTTTTGTGAAATATGATAGGAAGGTAGGGTTGTGTATTTAGGGATATATTGGTGGAGGTAGTATGGAGGGAGACGAAGGGGAACGAGAGAATGAAGGAAACGAAAGGAAGAATAAGGGAAATTTTGAGAAATATAGAAAAGGAGAGGGGTAAGGAAAGGAAGGGAATGGGATGATGGGGTAGGGAATGTAGAGAAAAAGAGGGAGTGAAAAGGGTATTAAGGGAGTGGAGGAAAGGTAATGGGGGGGGGGAGGCAGGAATACAGGAAAGAAAAAAGGAAACATAAGAAGCAGAGTAAGGCAAAGAAAAAAAAGGAGAATGAAAAATGGGAAAGGAAAGTGGAGGGAGCGAAGAGTGAGAGGCGACGTGGGAAATAGTAAACAGGGAAAGGAAGAGATGGAATGGGATAAATAAGAAGATAGGGATGAGGGAGTGGGAGGAATATTTCAAAGATTTGATGGGGGGGGGGGGGGTGGAAGGGAGAGAGGTAAGGGGAGAAAGGAAAAAGGAGAGACAGGAGATGGACAAAGAGCTACTATAAAACTTTTTGTGGAAGGGCTGAGCAGGCAGACAGTCAGCCCCCCCACACATTAAAAACAACCGATTTGGAAAATTAAATATACAGGATTTTTGCGCTATTTATGCGCTACTATTTCCAGGCATTTTTGGTTTTTGCGCTGCAACACTTAAGGCACTTCTCTCTTGGAGCAAATAGTCATATTCACCCCTAAGTCACGTTGGCCTAGCTGGCCCCATCACTTACCGAAACCTTAATGAAAAAATTTTGGAATAATACGCTATTTATGCGCTACCTATAACCGCAAAAAAAATTTTTGCGCTCATTCCGTTTAGCTAAAAAAAAAATTTTTTGTACAGGGGCTGAGTTGGCAGTCAGCCCCACCACCCGTTAAAAACAACCGATTTGGAAAATTAAATATACAGGATTTTTGCACTATTTATACGCTACTATTTCCAGGCATTTTTGGTTTTTGCGCTGCAACACTTAAGGCACTTCTCTCTTGGAGCGAACAATCATATTCACTCCTAAGTCACGTCGGCCTAGCTGTCCCCCCCCCTCCCCCCAACTTACCCAAATCTTAATGAAAAAATTATGGATTAATGCGCTATTTATGCGCTACCCATATACGCAAATAAAACTTTGCGCTCATTTCGTTTAGCAAAAAAAAATTTTTTAGAGCGTAGCTGAGTAGGCCGTCAATGGGTGCTTTCAGCGGACTCAACAGTTGAGTGAGCGCTCACTGTTATTGGTGTATTCTTCTAAGTCTAAAATTCTGATTGGATGAGCTAAGAGAATACACCAATAACAGTGAGCGCTCTCTCAACTATTGAGTTCACTGAATGCGCCCAATCAGCCCCCCCCCCCCTACATGTTAAAAACAACCGATTTTGAAAATTAAATAAACAGGATTTGTGCGCTGTTTATGCGCTACCTATTTCTGCAAAAAAAAATTTTTACGCTCATTCTGTTCGAATGCGAGCATTCGTGTGCAAAGGCAGAGAGGAACCTCTCTGGCAAAGGATGAGCAAACAAATGCAGAAGAAAATATTCGATTTTTTAATATTTTTAATTTCGTATACCTTTTGAACTAAGGGTGAATAAACGAAAATTCCGACGGAGCAATCGTGAGCAAACGAATGCAAGAAAAAAATATTCGATTTTAATATTGGGGTGCTAGCGTGAAGTTGGACCCCATAATTTAAATTTCGTATAACTTTTGAACTAAGGGTGTACAAACGAAAATTCCGACGGAGCATTCGTGAGCAAACGATGAGCAAATTCCTGTAAAGATGTCGGTCTTTAATATGGTATCTCGTCGATGGTATAAGTCCGGATCTCTACAATAGATGTTTTAAGCCTTAAGCCGTAAGAAAATGACCAACTACAGTCGAATGCGAGGAGAATAATTGATTGTGATTCGTCCATTCCTTATGGCTTAAAGCTTAAAAATCTATTGTAGATCCGGGGTAAACAGAGAGAAACCTTCTCTGGCGGTACCTAGTTTTCAGATCGTAAAAATGGATGCGCTGTTTAACATATTGCGTGAAAAAGACCGGGATAGCCACTCTCAAGTCTTTTCATCTATGGCGTCACATAACCTCTGATCGCTGGTAAGGTAACCTCGTGGTGAAGTTGTCGAAGGCGTAATCCATCGTCTGTGGTACAATATACTAAAAACACGTTTATTCTGTTGTTATCGAATAATGTGTTCGTGACAATTATTTATAATTGCTATAATATTTGTTCTCGTTATTGAATCATAATAAATCAAAATGCAGCACGACGACGTAAGTAAATGCTCTGTGTACAGTTTAATTTAACTGTTTTTAGTTTTTATTGCGATTTTATTTACAACAATTTTACAGGTTGTGTGGAGTGTTATCAATAAATCATTCTGTTCTTTCAAAGTAAAGTAAGTATGTCCTTAAAAAATAAATGTGCAACAAAGGCTTTGTTGGCTTACAACACTTTATAAGGTCGTTTTATCCTTGCTGTTTATTAAATAAATATTAAACAAGGACGAATAATGCTCACAAGTGTTGTAAGCGTTGAAGCAAACATAGCCAAATTGTAACAGCCTTATTGTCATTATAATTTTAACATCTCTTTTGCAGTACGAAGACACAGCGGTTCTGCAGAAATGAATTTAATCTTACTGGTTTATGCAGTAGAGCTGCGTGCCCTCTTGCAAACAGTCAATATGCTACGATTAGAGAAGAAGATGGTATTATTTATCTCTACATGAGAACTGCAGAAAGGTAGATTAAACATATGAATTGTAGTTACGGTAGTTACTAATCTGTAGCATTTGTTATAATACTTAAAATTATAAATTTTATGAACATTGACAAAGAGAAACAAAGATTAGTTTTAATTCGAACATAATTGTAGCATCCATAAAATGAACTTTTATCTTTATGTATATTATACAATATGTACATACATCTTTATATGTATATATATGTTATATTTTTACATGTATATTAGTATGCATTAGTTTGAATATTAATTAAGTTTCTTTTATTTAGAATACATACACCTAAAAATAGCTGGGAAAAAGTCAAACTGTCTAGGAATTTTGAAAAAGCCATACATCAAATTAATGAAAATCTTCTTTACTGGCCTGGTTTTATAAAGGCTAAATGTAAGCAAAGATTTCTCAAGATCACACAGTATCTTATTCGTATGAGAAAATTTAGATTAAGACGACAGAAGAAAATTGTACCGCTTCAGAGGAAAATTGAAAGAAGAGAAAGGCGTAGGGAAGAAAAGGCTTTGATTGCTGCAAAACTAGAAAATGCAATTGAAAAACAGCTTATGGAGAGGTTGAAGAAAGGAATGGTAATTGAATTTTATATTCATTATAAAATTATATATAAAGATTAAGTTATATTTCAGAAATGTTATTTTCTTCATATTTCAGTATGAAGGTATTTACAATTTCCCACAACGAGTGTTTGATAAGGCTGTTGGGGCTGTTGAAGTTGAAGGTGAAAGTGAAGCAGAAAGCGAGCATGAAGAGGAGCAAGAGAAAGAACTTGAGAAGGAGTTGGAAATGGAATTAGAAGCAGATGACAGAGAAACTGAACAATATGGTCCAGAATATGTTGAAGCTGATAGCGACGATGATGACTATGAGGACAATGATGACGACATTGAAGAGCTTTCTATGGTAAATGATGAAACAGTTAGTCACTAAAATATAATTACTTTAATATTTTTTTATAAATACATTATAAATGCTGTATAGGATGAAGATAGTGACTCTGGACAGAAAGAAGAAGTTGAATTATCCGATAGCTTTGAATCCGAAGCTAGTGATATCGAGGTAAGAATTCTCAAGATCAAAGTAAGGCTTGTTGCATTACAAGTCGTGATATAAATTGCTCGTGTTTTATTAGGATTTAGTCACTCCGTCCACAAGCAAGAAGACAAAAGGACCGAAAGTTGTCAAAAAACGAAAGGTGCAAAAGAAACCTCGAGCGAGAGTCCAAATGGAATATGAAGTGGAAGAGGAGAGTCAGCAGAATCAACGGGCGCGTATATAAAATTAAATTTGTATTATATAAATATAATTATCTTTATAACAAAATCACAAGACGCTGTATAAGTTATTATCCAATATTTCGGTTGACAAAATAATCATGATATTACAACATTTTAACTTGCATTAAAAATAAAAAAAAGTTGAACAGGATACTTTAGGAGTATATTGTCTCATCTTTAACGTTTTTCTCAAGACATATAATTGTGAAACTCGAAGTTCTTTATGAACCGATATGTTGTGAGAATCTTGTATTATCTATTTCGTAAATAATACCTTTGAGACTTCTCTTGTAAAATTACAAGACCATTGCAAAACAGATACAAAAAGTCAACAAATTTTTAAATAATATGAATGATCACAAATATATGTATGATTTATGGTACTAAAAAAGATAAAAACTATTGGCAATTAACATATCTATATATATATATATTTGAAAAAGAAAGAATAAATAAAAAGTAAAGTAAATTATTTACATATATTATGCAAGAAATCTCAGAAAATGCATTTATAAATTTTATAAAACATTACAAACTAATCAGTTTTACTACTTTGATAATTCTATCGTTTTAAAAATTTAATCAGTCCAGTAATGTTTATATTTTACGTTTGCGTTTGTGAATACAATCGTGTTCTCAGGTCAAACGCAGTACGTTCAAAAGTTCCGCTCATAGGCGCGAAAACTCTACAGAAAGTACATCTTGGGGAGGGGAATTGGAACGTCCGTAGCGGCGTAGCAGACGATACGATTAATCGTGACGAGTTGAGACAAGCTGAGAGAGAGGAGGCGAATTTCCTAATTGTTCGTCGCCGAGGATCTTCTCCGAAAATCGGAGAAACCTTCCTCGGCGAGTTCGCCTGCCATCAATTATTCGTGATTGAACTCCGGAGAATCCGATTCGTCGCAAGACAAAGCGAGGTGTCAGTCGATCCGCACTCCGCAGTGCTTCGGCATTGCGCATTCGTTTAGAATCGTCACGCACGTTGACATTTTGATTTGACTCTCCGCTATCGGGCTCCGCCGCAGTCTTTGGGAACTCGGACAAAGCGAACGTCAGGAACATGATGACCCGGCCGCGATTTTGCCCTTTCGCCCGCTATTTATAGAGCTGGCAGGTTATTTCTAAAATCAATCGCACAGGTGAGACGAGCGGTGCCGGAATAATACAATTGCGATAAGTAACGCGGGAATTAACGCAAATTGGTGTTGCAATATACACAACGTTACTGGTGTTTGCCAGCAAGAGACAGTACAACACAGTAATCATTTCCATCCCTGTTTACCATTGGCAGACAACAAAGATGTTGCGATTCACTGTGTTATACCGTGTCTTCTGTGTCTCTTGTTGGAAAACATCTCATGTGTAACATGATTTAATTGCTTCTTGGAGGTACTCCTGAGAGTCCCGAGATGTTTCCGGATGTTTGTTTGTTTTTCTCAATTCGCGCGATGCAGATCCCACGCTCTTATCGAGCAATTCGCGCGATAAACCAGAGGCGGTGCGTAGCTATCAACGCGCTCGTTACGCGGATTTATCTCTATCAAGGGAGGTTTCGCAATTCGCAAGTGTCCGCAGAACGAGCGCGTTGTTGTCCTTCGCTCGTAATTAGATGTGGTATTTTCGCTCGATGTGGGTACCAAGTTCCTCTCAGTTTCTCCGGCAACCTCGGATCACGGTGTGATCTCATCGAATGAATGACTCAAGGGCGTCAACGAATGATAATCTTCTATCTTCTTTGTCTCAGGGATATCGTGGCATGCGGAGTGATGGATCATTGAATGGAGATGCAAGGTTGGAGAGCAACATGAATCTGTATCGCACAATTATCTGACTGGGATCTACTCTTCGAGTTATCGTGTCTTCGTAGCTTCACGCACAAATGTCAGGATGTTAAGCGGTGCTGTCAATATGGAACTGAATAATGTTGTGAGCAACAAAAGTTCCATATACCTTGCACTGTCGTTCCGTAGGCTGTGCTTGGCGACAGTTGGCTTACCACTTGTGTCGCTATTGTTCTGCTTCATCACAGCATATATATTTCAACAGGACGATATTCACGAAACTCATTGTAGGGTAAGCAAAAGTTTCATATTAGTCATTGTTAAAATAAGCAAGACTTGTGACAAATAATATCTCTTGGTTTGTTTAGGTCTATAATATTCTTCCATCGATCTCAGCCATTACTGGAGTATCTCCACAGAGATATTTATGGCGTATCAGTATAGCATTACATATTGGTCCTAGACTGGTTATCGCCAGTGTTTATCATTCATATTATTACAAGATACTTAAGAACATTGAAGATGTGCCTCTACAAATTACAGGGAGCAGGCTCCTAAACCTATGCTACTGGCTAAACATTGCTGAGATAGCAGCTTTGTCTGGTGTAACATATATTTCTAACAGAGAAAATTATTGTAAGTAACTCATAATTTCATATATCTGCTATTAACGTATTATTGAAGGATAGAACGTTTGATGTTATTAACGTTGTTTGTGTTATTCTATATTTATTGTATTCATTAGACATAAAACAAGAATAGAATGACATAAACAGCGCTAATAGCATGTTTTCGAATGCACTTTTAGTAAATGACATGAAAATATTTCAGCGGTGCACGAAAAAATTTTCATAGTGTTCATGATTAGCTCGCTCACATACATGTTGACTGCTGTGAGATTGGGTCGTTTAATAACTCCAAATGCACAAAGTCTTCAGTACAAACAAGTGCTTTTTATGACGAGTCTCGTCAGTACAATCTTTCTTATTATTTTCTTCTTAAAACATCGACTGCTGTGTCACGATTTGGGTAAGAAACATTGTTACAAATGTTATATTTATTACAGTTTAAAGTAAAAACATAAACAATATTTATTATTTTGAACAGCATTTAGTTGGTTTTCGCTATGTGAATACGTGATAGCTTTTGCAAATATGGGCTTTCACATCACTGTGGTTTCGGACTTTCCTGAAGAACAACTGATCGTAGGTCACGGTTTACCTGCCGAAAAAATAGATTAACCTTATAGGATAACTTATCATTCTCATCGTCATATTAAAGTACCTATTGCCTCTGCATGGAAGTGCTACAAATTGTTGTTTTTAAGAGACGAAAGTTTGGCATACCACGTGATACATAATTTCACGATTGTCTCAGTTTTATGATATTGACAATATTACATTATGTTACCCTCTTGAGATTAATACAATTTGCTTCCAGTGATATTTAAGAAATAGTTATCATTTTTATCTTTACTTTTACATTGTCTCGCAATATTAACTACGATATTCGACCAATAATTCCGAATAAGACACGTGGAAAGAATAAAAATATCTAGCGCTTCCAAAATGTGGCACCGGTTACTTTCAAAGCGATGAAATATGTAACGGCCTTTTAATATTGTTTAGTAATAGAGTACAATCATAGTAAATAATAGTTAGAAGTATCCTACATACAAACAGCATTTATTGTTAAGCGCAAATTAAATATTATTACTCACATCGTATGAGATTACTTGTGAAGACTTTTAAATCTTCTTTTATAGAAACTTTTGCAAGGTGAGAATCTAGTCGAATATATTAATTCTAGTCGCGATCTTTTATTCGCTTTATGATACTCCTATTTTATCTAATAAGTTGAAATTAGATTATAAGGTACATTTATGTAACGAACTTTGAGATATTATAATCGTAAGTTCATTAAATGAACATATATACAATTTTGGATTATTGCAAAGATATTGTACAGTTGTATCTTGTTGGCAAATCTTAACCATGAAAATCGTACATGTGTATACGTTAATACACATTCACCTTGTAAGAGATTAATTCATCTTGTATAGATTTTGAAATAATAAATTCAGCTAATGTTTACAAGCCAATCTGTTTGGCATTATTGTAACTGCACAAACGTAGGATAATTGCTCCTATGTTTGTATGTAGTATACGATAGATTAATAATAGTAAATCGAGACACTGACGGTTAAAACGGTCATAATCGTATTACATAAGGATGTGTAAACGATTGCATTCGGACCAGTGTGCGTTCAAAGGTAAGATCAGTATCTAAATATTTCACACGAATTTATAAGATAAACGTTTAAAGAGTTTCTGTCAAGTTTATGACTGAAATCTCTCTATTCATCTCTTGAACAAATATTATTTGATATTGTTTAAAACACATGGATTATTTGTGATACGTGACATGTACATGATTTTCGGAGAACATAAAAACTTTTAGCTATAATATTTTTTTAAATTGTTATTTAATTTTTAACCATAAATTCTAAATATTAATACTTTGGATTATTAAAATTTACATTTCTGATGTGATTATTTTAAAATATATAATTGTATGAATTATAACAGAGAGGTTGAATTTTATAGATTATTTTATAGTTTGAATAATAATGTTTATCAAAAGCGTTCAATAAAATTTAACATGTTTTATTCAAAATATTGCTAGAAATTATTGCGATAAAATTTTTACTAGTGTTTTATAACTATTTAAACAAATCTTGTGTATGTTTTTGTTAAGAAAGTTCCATGGTCATAAGATTGAGATGAAGTTGCTTACGTGCGTGAAGAATAGACTAGTAAGGAATGACTACATTCTCAGACTGTAATATCTGCGCAGAATATCTCCTGATATTAAATCGATAAATATAAAGTAAGATTTATTGTAATAAGCGCAGATGGTGCGTTATCGCAATGTGTCTCTTAGGATTTCGTTGTAAAAGGCCGATAGTGTCAGTATGACTCTAGATAGCACCCGCAGTTAAATGATATCATTTTTGCACGTTTTTACACATGAACATTGTAATTGTAGCATGTTTTGATATGACAACTTTTTGTTAAGATTACTCGTATACCATTATTGAAAAAAGGAAAAATGAATAGTCAGTGCATATTTATCGCTAGTTTTTCGTAAGTACGTTTATAATCATGAGTAATCATGCAGAGATATGCTACAAGCTTTAGATTTTTGTAATGATCGTAAAGAAGTAGCGCTTTGTTTTTTCTACACACGCAGCAAACACAATCACTGGAGCGTAATATCTCAGTTCCTATTATAATTGGAATCTCATTTTTGTATATATATATATATATATATAAAAAAAATATATATATATATATATATATACATAGTCAAGATAAAAGTAGATGCATTCAACAATCATTTAATTTACTGATACCGTCATCAGAGGCCGTGCCAAGTGATGTACTAAAGATATATCAGGAAATTGATCGTTGCTAACACTGCACGTTAATAATCTTTAGGAATTTTTATTAAACCACATTTGCATCTTACACTTCGTTGGACAATCATTTTGCTTTTCAAATACATTTGTAGCAATGATCTTGTGGAATGTTTTTTGTATATTATATCTTTCATTTTTAAAGATACAAGAATCTAAGAACACATCAATATGACTAGATCGATTATAACAGAACATGTTCAATTTCTAATGAATTGTAAACTTATGTTGGTATTCTTGGAATACATACAAAGATTAAAATTAGTTTCTTGAAGTAAATTTTTATTTTTCGGTAAAAATGGAATTATGAAATTAAATATAAAATAATTACTGTAACAATATTTACGTCTCTAAAATTGTATTGATTTAAATGAGATTCCAATTACTTTATTATCTTTGAAAAATTATCCTCGAATTCCTCAGGGAATCTATTATTCAAAAAAGATAAGCGATTGATGAAGCATTTTGTATGTGTTTTAGTTAATAAATAATAAATAATGTAAATTAAATTGTGAGTTATATGGACAAATACCGAATGTCTCTTATATAAATAAGTATAAATTAATAGTATATAAAATTAATATCAAAATATCAAAATTTTTTTTAGAAATACAGCGTTTACTTGTAAAAATAAGTTCCAAAAGTATTACGAAATGAAAAATTTTGTTAGAAAACACGGAAAGAGTATAATCTCCTAATATTTATTTTATAAGCGCTAATGTTGAACTTAACGCTTCTCAAGAGAATTGTACTAAATATTAATTTAATTATAATTTTGATTGTGACCGTGCGCCTCATAATCGCTCTGTGATTCATTAATACTCATGAATTCATCGTTAAGATATTAACACACCTTCAGAGTGATTCGAGGAAGCTAATGAGATTAAACTCTATAAAGAGTGTAAGAAAAAAATTATTTATCATTATCTCCCCTAAAAATATTTCTTCACTTCCGTAAGATAAACACGCACTTATGGTAAAAGCTTTTAAGGATGAAAGCTCTGGAAACATATTAAAAAATTTTGTCATATGATTTTACTTTAGCGATAATGACTAAACATATCTGTAAAGAATTTTTATCGTATTCGAAGTTCTCTTCTTTCGCTGTAAATAACGCTAGCATGATATATACCTACCTTATACAAACGACGGAGTATATGTTAACGGTGTAGTAAGTAAACGGTATAATGTTTCACCTTCGATTGGTATGATAATTTAAACAATGCAAACTTGAAGTGAAATCTTTACAAACATATACTCATTATCGAGTTGCAGCTATTTTTTTCTGCGACTCGTATTTTTCGAAATAATTTTGCTACTGAAATCTTTTTTCTAATTTACTTACTGTATATATTAAAATTGTATCGATGAAGTGCTACGATCTCGCGAAGGAACTGCGCGTTCCCGATATATTATTTGGGTAATTGACAATTCTGTGATAATAAGCACAAAACAGTGTTGCTATATTTCATTTCACAAGTTAGATTTTGTTTATTTCTTAAATAAATTTTCCCTGAATACTATTACTTCATTTTTTTAACTATACGCTTTACCTATATTTAAACATGCCAAAAAAATTTTAATTGTATATTATCACAGAATTCATTTTCCCTATTCTTATATTTAAACTAAATTATTTTTAGTTACAAATTATTATTGAAGTAAAGAATTAATTAATCAAATAAATAGCAGTAAATCTCTAGTTAATTAGTTTTATAAGTTTTATAAGCTATCCCGAATCCCTCTACGCACAATCATATTTTGTGAAATTTTATCAAAAGAGATTATCAAATATATAGTTTGCGTCTATTATATATAGCTATTGTTTCAATTTCTTTGCATATGTATATGTTGTGTCTACAACAAGTTTTCAACTTGAAAATGTCCACAGTGTCGAAAGAAAACTTACGCCCAACGCCTCTAATATATCTTTCATCTCTGCCACAATCCCGTGTACTATAAATCAGAGTGAGAGCAATCGAACCTCGAATCCAGTTGAAACCTACAGCATTGCCGCGAAGGTAATTGAACTCTGTTGACCTTAATGTAAGGGAATAAACGAGCGTGATTAAATGGCTATCGTGTGACACGAACGAGAACTTTCATCGTCCTCCGCGTAACGAAATTTAACAAGTCGCTTTCTTCAGCCGCACCGAAGATTGGATGAAGACTCGAACATTTTGTTTATATATACTACTACTGATTTTATGTCACTATAAGAAATAGCTGTATTTTCCTACACTTTCGCATACATACACATATAAACACAATCGGTCGAGCCATCATCTGATGTAAATGTATTTCTGATGAGCATACGACCGCTTTGTAATATAGTGTATATTTCTTGTAATCGGTTTAGGGCGGGTGCCCTATACTCTGATTAAAAGTGTATTTCTGTATATGTGATGACTTGTAACAACAATGATTTCGATTAGGAGAATGATTTCTATTTGTATCGCGTAACGAACAATTGTCAAATAAAAATTATCATATACAATCTGCTTTTGTCAAATCTCATTAAATTGTCACAAACAATTGACACATATATCTTTTTAAGAATTCAAACAAATATCATTTTGATAAACTCAAATATTTAATAACACATTAAACAATCTATAAATATTAGCGGTAACGTTAATTATATAATTATTATATTAGTTATTATAAATAATTATTATATTAATATACATTTTTTTCTTTTTTACTCTTTCTTTCTCTCTTTCTTTCTCATTATTATTTTCAAAATTAAATCTATTTTTATACAATTATTCTAATAGTTATTTTATCATATTTTTCATGTTTTATCGTATTATGATTTTTTATATTTGCATACAGGAGAAAAGGAATAATTAAATAAGATAGAACTTATCGAACCTGCGTTCTTCTCATTTAATGGAAATACGAGAAAACTTAGATCCAGTTCTTTTTCGAGAATATGTCGAGATCGGTAGATCGTATTTCTTTGTGAAATATCCACCAATAATGGAAAGTCGCATAACTGTGTGCTTCTGTTTTCTATCGATAAATCTGTAAATATATACATATATATTTTATTTTCATATATTACTTTTTTATATTAAAATATTCAGTCAAACTGGAGAATCGGATTTTAATGTTTATCTATATGCGCTTAATGACTGGACTAAACAGGCTAGTCTACTTTTGCGTAAAAGCTTGCTTATCAATAATTAGATGTTTTTTATGTTAAAGATTTTAATATTTAAATGATTTGTTTAAACACACTTAACATGCAAAACGTAAATCTTAGAATATTTGTTCACTGATTCGGAGTTGACTTTATTAAGGCAAAAATATTATTAAAAATTCTTTTTGATATAGCTTTCTCTAACAAGGAAAAGAATAGAAGTAGAAACGTGCTTTTGAAGTACGATTTATTACAAAAGGCTAATTCATATTAATACCGAATAACCAATTTTTAACACATCTGAGTGTTAATTTAACCTAATAATATGGTTACGCTATTTGAGTCTTATTTTAATTAATATTCAATAAGAAAATGTTTTTATAATATTTGTATTACTTCCCAATATATTTGTGTTATATTAAATTAATACAAATTGTGTCGTTTTTGGTACTCGTAAAATATTAAATTTCACATAAATTTTCCAATTTTTTTTTTTTTGGGACATAATACAAAAATTCCATCATATATTACATATATATGTATATATGTACTTACTTTTTTGCACAATATATTGAAATTTGAAAAAACTATAGCAATACTTTATATGAAGATGCGTAGGTAATTAAGACATTTAGGAAAAAGCTTAAATATTTGTCCTTCTCAAACCTTATCATTCTCCCCAAACAAATCACCGTCCCTTTTTCGAGGTATTCTCAGTTTCGAAATGTTTGCATTCTCTTTGAATGTATCGCTATCTTGTCGTCGAACTTTCCTCACGCGCCTTTTTTCTTTAATTTTAACCTTCATAGGAGTCACCGATGTCGTTTTGACACACCGTCTGCATCGCCACACGATTCTAGGGTCGTAAACATCGACGTCGATGACCGGAGGTTGATGGCACAGCGGATGATAAGCTTCTTGACACTCCTGGCACTCGAGCAAAATCAGAAGTCCCAGTTTCGCACCGTTACAGATCTTGGAGTTTACACACACCACAGATATCACAATTCATTTAAGTCAACAACACGGCGACTTTTGAAGACAATCAGTCACACAGTCACATCATTCTCGCGATTTTGCATTTAAGCTATAAATTATTAAGTGGCCGGGTTTAATTGAAGAAAACCTTGCACACAGTCCCGTCGGCAGATCCTTCATCTGGAATCGAGATCCTGGGAATGTCTTCCTCGTCCTCGCAGCAGCCCTCGTAATCGACCTCGAATACTTTTACGTCGGACTTCCGGTGATTCCTAATGTTCTCTGCTTCGTCAGCTTCAAGGAAAGAAATGATCTCAAGATTACCGTCCCAGATCTCGGTTTTTATCGTACTGTATCCTTGCGTTACGTGGTCGTGACTCTTCGAGGTATGAATCGGAGGAACGGATTTGTCGACGTTTTGCAAAAATCGCTTCGGCATTCTGACAGCCAAAGTCTTTTCGAAGCCGTGCTTCTTTTCAATGCAGGTGTCCAGCATTCGACGAAGCTTCTCCGCACTGTCTTGTTCTGTCGAATGCAACAATGCTAATGCGTCGAAGAAATCTTCGTCGATGTCGAACGTGTTTTCGTGCATTCTATATACGGTTGGTATCTTCGGATTCAGATTTTCGATTGTCAAATAGAATACCTTTCAGACGTATCCTGTTTTGGCGACACTCCTATAAATATTTCACGGAATGCAACATTTTGTTAAACAGATGATTTAAATATTCTAGACGAAATTTAAAGACGGGCAAAGTCTGCACAATGGATAATGTTGACATTGTACAGGCAACTATTCGGTGAGAAATGACAATGGAATCGACGGTCGAATTGACATCGATCGACGTCAATTTGATGATTTCGACGTCGAATCGACATCGATTCGATATCAATTTCATTGTCATTTCTCACTAGGTATTTGTCCGTATAATAGATATATTCTTAATGCTGCAGTAAATTAACTTGTAAATATTAGAAATATAGCTCACGAAGAAAACAAACATGTAAAATTTTAAATTTGAACAGAAGTGAAAAGCTGATTAGTAATATGGCGCGTAGTTTTTAAATATCTTGAGAGAGAGAGAGAGAGAGATTCAGGCCAAATTTGACTTGAGCACATAACAGCTGAAGGTTAAAGAACATAAAACGTATTTCAAATCTTTTGGAACATAATTTGACCATGAAATATAGGTAAAAATATAGGTATCGTTACATCATGGATTTGACATTGTTCGCTCACGTACGACGATGTGAAACAGCGTTCTTGACGAATTAAGGGTCGGTCATGCACGAAGGAGTGTAGCAGCAAGTGGTCCTGCGGACTGGTAACAATTCTGGGAATTGTACGGACAGGGACGTTCTATGGGATTTAGATATGCGAATAGTATCCCGGGACGTTCGCCGTGAAATGTGCCGAAGGAAGGTGGCCGGCATTTATCGGGCTCGATCATCGACTCTCTGCTTGTATATCGACGGAATCGCATCGACGACGCACCATTGTTCTCGTGACTGTTTGCTAATAGAATCTATAGTGCTTATGGTTGTCGTCCGCCGGGAGTCGAATACTGGACATTGAATACAGACATTGAATATTCAACAAACGCATTTCGACCGGGTCTATCAACGTAAACGCGTGATGGACACACACGATGGTTCGGAAAATGTTTGTTGTAAATATCGCGTTATTTTCTCGTTATAGGCTAATTTTGACAAGTTGCGAATATTTATGACCCGCGCACCTTTTATGCCTATTTTTATACCAAGGTAAGTTAACTTTAATCTCGGTTTAACTTACTTTTTATCTTTTTCTAATTCTAACAATTAGAAAAAGACGAAGAATAAATTAAACCAAGATTAAAGTTAATCTACATTTGTAGAAATAAACATTAGACGGCTTGTAAAAGTTTAGTTTCTGTGTTTAACAGAATTAAAAAGAAAAATGTATATGTTTGAAGAATATTTACATTCATGAAAATGAAGAAACAATTCTCGTTCAAATAATTTCTTATATTTCGATTTATAAGTAACATTTTTTTATTTATGAATTTTATGTTATGTATTTTTTGTATAATTATTTATTATTTTAATTACATTAGTTTACAGCAAAAAAATTACTTTGTACCGAACAAAATGTTTCATATAGATTTTGGACGCTGAAAACGACGAAGCCGCAAACCAAATTTTACCAGCTATTAGGTTTCCAAAATAATTGAAATTTAATGTGTGGAAAAAATAGCTTTTTTGCGATATTTGACATTTTTGTAAAAAAATAAGATAACTTCTGATTCAGCATTTCAAAATAATGTTAAACTTTTTTTTTTACAAAAAAATCAAATATTACCCATAAGCCATTTTTGCTTGCACAATAAATTTCAGAAACTTGATATGTTAGTAAAATTTGGCTTGCGGAATCGTTTTCGTTATTCAAAAATTTATAACAAATCTCATGTCTGGTTCAAAGAAATTAAAAAAATATTTATACTTTCTTTTTGTAAACTAGTGTTATTAATTATTTACTGTAGATATTATCTACAAAAAAATAGAATACTTAATTTAATAATAAATAATTACTGTAATGTGCTAAAAATATTTTTTATTTAACAATTATTGAACAATATAAAGTTATATTCTTTTATATTATACGGCAATTTTTCTAACATCTGTATTTGTGGATTCTCGTAGAATACAGATCGTTCTCTCAGTATCCACTCTCCTTGTACTATCTTGTACCCAGTAACGCGCTTTTTCAAGGTTTCTGTCAACAAGAGCCCCTATACGCGTTTCTTCATCGCGCTTTTTCGGGAACGGGATAGAAGGGCGGTGCGGGGTAGAAGGGTGAGTGAGCGGAAAAGCATCCAATTATCATGCCCGATGCTGGGGCTTCTCACCCTGCACAAGCTCGGTACCAGAATCGACTGGAATCCGGCCGGGAAGCCGGGCCCGGTAGACGTCGAACGAGTGGGATTATTCCGCGTCCGGGTTCGGAGCCGGGGAACCGTGCGGGGGCGGGCCGAGGGAACAATGTCGGAAACGACGGGGACGGTATGCCGAGATATGCAGGATATCGCGCAGAACTGCGATCCTTCGAGGTCTGTGCGAGGAGAGCGAGAGAGCTATGAGGATACAGCAGTGGCGCAAGTATAGTGAGCCAGATATGTACGCCCCGCGACGCCGCGTCGAGAGTGAGAGAGACAGAGACAGAGACAGAGAGAGAGAGAGAGAGAGAGAGAGAGAGAGAGAGAGAGAGAGAGA